GTCCGCCTTCTCAGTTATCCTTTCCTTCCGAGCAGCTGTCTTGGTAAGAGAGTGCCTTGGGGGGCATGGCGGGGGTGTGTAAGGGTGGTTTGGCCAGTCCGTGTCCCTCCAGTCAACCATTACCCTGGCGCTGAAAAATGTGTGGAATGTTTTGTCCAACCACCCACAGCTGTGGCCTAAAGGGAGGTGATGGGGAGGGAGGGGTGTCCTCAGAAATGGAAAATGGAGTTCTGTTTTCCCCAGACCATGAGATGGATTCCTGTGGCAGCTTAAGGGGCCTTCCTCCCCATTCATCACAGGGGATGGACAGATGGGGCTGTATAGTAACCCTTTCCCCCACTGGATTTGATTTCTATAGAAGTGAAGGGCCTCCCTGACAGTGACACACACACACACACACACAAATTTGCACATAATTTTCATAGTTTTTGTCTCCCGTCTCCTCAATTAACTGCTCTCTTCTCCAACATAGCAAGCTTAGGCAAGGGGGCAACTCCTCCTGTTGGATGGATAAAGTGAGGATATAAATAAAATTTTATTATTATTCTCAATCTTAGGGGTGCAGGCAAGATGGGTCATGATGCCATCACCTGTCATGACCACAGACTAACACCTCAGTGGTTCTGTAGGGCTCCAACTCCAGAATCAGGCTTCTGTTCCCAGATTAGAGGAAACCTTGTTCAGGATAGACAGCTGAGTCTATCCAATGCCTTCCTGCATCGCCCTATAGCTTCTGCTCTTATCTGGACTAGGGGAGAGGCACCAGGTGGTGCAGGATATTAATTTATCACTGCCAAATTTCCTCCTGTCCCTGTCAGGTTCCAAACCTTATTGCAGGATAAAGTAACCCCAAGTGCATATATATCTGTTGCATTTATGTACTACCCAGACAACCTAGTTCTCTGGGCGTTTTACATTAAAAAAAACACAGTGAGCTGAAATACAGGCAAATAGTACTGTGTAGTTTTCATGAACACCAGTGGGGGCTCCGCTTTTGTATCTCAGCTGCCTAGTCTTGAATGTCTGAGTAGCTGACAGAAACCTGTGTTGCTGCTTGCACTAAGGAGAGGTTCAGAGCCCATGGCTTGTCGCAATTGTTTGGCCTTTGCTCCCTATCTTAATTCACAAGATACCTTTGTTTTTCTCTCTCCTGGTCTTAACCTGCATCCCCACCAGTGGAAACAGTCTTTTATTTCATTCACGCTGGCCTTTGGGCATGTCTGTTTTCCTTCCCTTCGTCTAATTGGGCTCCCTCAACTAAATCTTCTCTCCTGTTTGGGACTTCCAGCTTCCAGAAGGAGCTCTAATCCCCCCCCCACCCCGCTGGGGAATTGATCCACAAAGGCCGGATACAAGCAGCTTAACCTCAGTCCTTTGCCATCTGTCCAGTCCATGCAGTTGAAAGCTTATTGGCATGTGTGAGAGACCTTGCTCATGTTCGAAGCAGCTGGCCTGAAGACCCTGGGGCGGGGGGAAGGGGGCGGAAGAGGCATCTGAAAGGGGGGGTGTTGTCTGTCCCGGCTAGGTTAATGGGGATGGAGGTGTCTGGTGTGTAGTCATGTTGGCAGGTGCAACACCCATAAGTGTGTGTCTCGGACACATGCACCTTGTTAGAACCTCAGCAGCAGCAGGTGGCTTGCACTCTTGACGGGGTTATATTTAATGTCTGCATGCCAAGGATCTTAAGATATAAATCGGGAGCTAGGCTGGTGGCTCAACAGGCCCACAAAGTATTTCCTGATTGCCGGCTTGGCTGTGGGGATGGGTGAGGGGCAGGTATGCAGCAATGGTGTTTTGGAGCAGCGTGTTGCAAAAACTTGCCATGGTCTGTGGCAAGACAAAATCAGGGGCCAAGGAAAACTTGTCTATTGTTCTTTTCCTGTAAAGCCCTTCCCCATCCCAATCGAGGCTTTCTGCCATTTTGGAAATTTCCAAAAATAAATAAGATATTTATACATACATACCCCACCCATCTGGCTGGGTTTCCCCAGTCACTCCGGGGAATTTAAAAGCATAATAAAAGGTCAAACACTACAAACTTCCCTAAACAGGGCTGCCTTCAGATGTCTTCTAAAAGTGAGATACAGTGGTACCTCGGGTTAAGAACTTAATTCGTTCTGGAGGTCTGTTCTTAACCTGAAACTGTTCTTAACCTGAAGCGCCACTTTAGCTAATGGGGCCTCCTGCTGCCGCTGCATGATTTCTGTTCTCATCCTGAAGCAAAGTTATTAATCTGAGGTAATATTTCTGGGTCAGCGGAGTCTGTAACCTGAAGCGTATGTAACCCGAGGTACCACCGTACTTGTTTATTTCCTTGACGACTGATGGGAGGGCGTTCCACTACCAAGAAGGTCCTCTGCCTGGTTTCCTGTAACCTCACTCCCCTTTTCTGATATTAATACAATGCTGATCCATTTCCCTCCTACTCTTTACTGAGTCTCTCTTACCCTCCTGTTAGAGGACCCAAATGCATTGTCTGTTAGATATATAATTCTCTTAATTTTATTACTGCAATTGCTTGCTACAAATTCTGAGGAGCGGGAGAGAAAGTGTTCAAGTTTATTTTCTTCAAATGCAATCAATCAAAACTCTTTCAAGACCAGGAAGTCGGGTGGAGGGGAGTGAGACTAATGGCAGGGGTTTTCAAGCTGTGCTTTGAGGAAAAGTTTTGTGTGTGGTTTGTCCCAAAGTACAGAGTAATGGTTGGATCAAGTTTACCTAAAAAGATGAGTTGTCCACCCACACCAAGCTTTCTCTGCAATTTGAAACCGCAGGGGTGTGTTGGGTATTTCGTGGCTTTCGAAATGCCTGTAAACCACTTGGAAATTGCTGGGCAAGATGTCACATGAGGTAATTTAATAATAATTTTTAACAATCACCCTGCCCAGCACTAGCATAACTTGCACTGCATGGCAGGCCACGAATGTGGTTCTAGGGCTGGATGCTGAGAAAAGCCCCCTTAGCTGGGACATTTTTTTGGGGGGGATGAAGTAGATTAGTCCAGCATCACGTTTATCCACTTAAAATACTTCAATACTGTTTTTGGGGTGGGGTGGAGGCTCTGAAGTTGGTGTGCAGTTACAATACAGTATGACAAGAAAATTGATAAATAAAGTGAAAATAAGCAACAAACATTCTGCCAAAAATACAAGAAAAACCATCAGTTGGACCACAGCTCAAGAAAAAGCAGACACAAAGGCTCTTCTAATGTATTGGGGCCTGTCAGATCACAGCTGGTAGTGTTGGGGGAGATGTAGGGCCACTGCAGAAAAGGCCCCCCATCCCTTGTTAAATATGACCCCTGATCAGAATTGCTTCTTACTGAGGGTGGGCAATGGCTCAAGAGCAGGGCAAGATGGAGTAGCAAGATGGAGTAGCCTCAGCTGTTGGAAACCGCTTGTTCTTGAGACAACAATGCACTTTAAGAGGCTGGACCGGTAGTTTGAAGAGGCACTGCCCTCTTCAATGTGAAACTATCAGCCTGATGGATTTCACAAGGCAAGAGTTTGTAATTGTGGTTTGGAGCAACATTATTTGATCTGAGTCCTTATATGGTGTTGGACTACAATTCCCATCACCCCTTAACCACTGACTTAAGCTGAGTGGGGCTGAAGGGAGTTGTAGTCCAATGACATCTGGGGCCCCCTTGTTGAAGGAAGTTTGCTTTAAAACAAAATGGCGCTCCCTCTGATTCCTAGCAATGGAGCAAGGCCTTCTGGGAGTGAGAACACAACTTCACTTAGGAGTGAACCGTAACAATAAAATAGAAGGATATATTGGGGTGCTGCTTTCAGGGTATGTGTGTGAGACAGGCTCTGATTACGAAGTTTGTGCCCCCTTAGTGTCTCTTGAGAAGGGTGTTTACTTTTTCTAGATCAGGGGGAAGCCAATGGGCACTACTGAGCTGCAGCTAAAAGCCATTCCCCATCCATGGCTCGCCTTCCAGGAGAACAAGGCAGTGCTTGTGTTGGCTGCTGCAGCTGCTGAGTCAGCCCATCTGCCTTCGAGGGAGATACGAACAGTCTCTCCTTTAAGATGACTGGATGGGGGAGAGGAGCGGAGATGTTCCTTTTAAGGTAGTGTGGAAGGAGTCTAGTATTTTCTCTCTCTCGCTCTCCCACTCGTATTTCTGCTTTTCCCAAATCTGTATTCCAGGTCTTGATTTCAGCTGGCACAGGGCCATGGAACTAGATTTCAGTGTTCAGCTTCGACCTGGAGCAGCCTGAGTTGGTCATGAATAGCTCTTGAGCATGTGCAAAGTCCACTTCTCACCACTGAGCAGCCGTGCAGTAGAGCACCGCTGCTAGATGAAGAGTGCTGCGTCAATTAGGACTACAACCTTTTGTCATTAAAGTTTTGTTGTTGTTTTTAGAAGAATGGGGTTGCTAACGGTTTCGGGCCTGTGGGCACATTTGCAACGTGGAGAAACTCTTGTGGGTGCCACACACGTACAGCAAGCAGTTGCACAGTGCTCCCTGTTTACAAACAGGTGAAAAGCAACCAGAAAAGGCTAGTCACTCTGCGCACGGCAGTCTTCCATGATATTGGTGCAGGCACTAAAAAGGCCCTGCCTCTTGCGATTGTCATTGTCCTCAACTGTGTCTCCACTCCAATCTAAGTGGAAGGCCCTCTCCTTCTGATCTTGGAGAGTGGGCTGGGTAGCATGGGAGGAGATCCCACTGGTATCCTGGGCCCAATCCATTTAGATAAGTCACCTCTTTGAATTGTTTCAGGGAGAGAAATGGCAACCGGTGGCAACATGGCAGGATGGTCTTGCTAAACATTCTAGCTGGTGCATGCTTGCTGCTTCTGAAGGTGCATTAAAGACAGCCCCAGGTAGAGCGCATTGCATTAACCCAGTCTTGATGTGGCTTCAGGCATGTGTTGCCTTAGCCAGAACTGATTTCCTGGTGTGTTATGGTCACGTCGTGCTGCTTCCATGATTGGCGTGTGTCCATGGCCCTTAACTTGAATCTTCCTTTTCTTCTTATTCCCTGCAGTTTTGGGAGGTGATTAGTGATGAACATGGGATCGACCCCACTGGAACCTACCATGGCGATAGTGACCTACAACTTGACCGCATCAGTGTTTACTACAATGAAGCCACAGGTGAGTATTCACCTCTTTCCCCGCCCCCCCAAGGTGCTCTGGACCATTTTGATTCACAAAGTTACTTTTGCAAATAGCGTGCATAACTCGGTACAGTGGTACCTCGGGTTAAGTATTTAATTCGTTCCGGAGGTCCGTACTTAACCTGAAACTGTTCTTTACCTGAAGCACCACTTTAGCTAATGGGGCCTCCTGCTGCCGCTGCGCTGCCGGAGCCCGATTTCTGTACTTATCCTGAAGCAAAGTTCTTAACCTGAAGCACTATTTCTGGGTTAGCGGAGTGTGTAACCTGAAGGGTATGTAACCTGAGGTACCACTGTATCTGAATAACCTGCCTTTTTTCTGGCTCCCTTACCATTTCTTCTCATTATTATACCTTTTGTCCTATGTATAAGTAGGAAAAAGGAATATGGAAAGTTTCTCAAGTGTAAAGGGGTGTATACTGGATCTGTGCATTTCAGGGTCATACTGCCAGAGCTTGCTTTGTGCCACCTTTTCAGTCTTTAGAGAATTTAATCTTTTCATTGTGTTAGCTTTAAAAAATAATACAGTGGTACCTTGAGTTACAAACGCTTCAGGTTACAAACTCCGCTAACCTGGAAGAGTTCCCTTGAGTTGAGAACTTTGTCCCAGGATGAGAACGGAAATTGTGTGCCGGTGGCACAGCGGTAGCAAGAGGCCCCATTAGAGAAAGCATCCCTCTAGTTAAGAACAGTTCCAGGTTAAGAACGGACCTCTGGAACGAATTAAGTTCGTAACTAGAGGTACCACTGTAATTTAAATGCAAGCTCCTAGCTCTTAACTGCTGAGGGCGGGGAAGGCAAGCCTCAAAATGGAGCTTGGAAAGGTGTTGCTGGACCAGAATAACCCAACCAGCAGAATTTTCGGGACCACGAGGGAGGCTTCCACCAGAATGAGCAGGGGAAATGACTCAAAATCTCCCTACGCTTTCCAGTGCCATTTTGCTGCTTGCCTCTCTCGTATTTGGTGCTGCACTCTTCATCTACTCCCTTCCTTTTGCTATGTAGGGATAAGCTTCAAATTGTTTTTCATCCCTTGATACTTTGCCTACCAGGGATATATATAGGAGGCTATCCCCACGTGCAGGCAGTAAATAATAGATGAAGCATCCTTGAGCTCAAATGAGCCTTCAAGCTGTGTCATCAGTCCCAGCGCACATTTGTTCGCTGTCCAAAGTGTCTCTTGCAAACATCTTGTATTCTAATGTACTTTCTTTCTCAAAGCTCCTTGGTGACTTACTATTCCATTCTACTAAGAAACCTGAACGTCATTAAAAAACTTGCATTTAACTTGAATGGATAGGAAGCTAGCAACATGGTTTCTGTTATGGAAGGGGCCCATGGATGGGGAACCGCAGTCCTCTTTCTCAGGTATATCCTTTGCCCTTCTTTCTCCCAGGTGGCAAATATGTCCCTCGTGCCATCTTGGTTGACCTGGAACCAGGAACTATGGACTCCGTGAGGTCTGGACCTTTCGGTCAGATCTTCAGACCAGACAACTTCGTGTTTGGTAAGATGCAATCCCAATCTTTGCTGTTTCTATCTGTAGTTGGGAGGGAAGGGGGGTAGGACTGCAAACAAATGCCTCCTGTAAACTAGTTGGGTTGACCTTTTTTGTCGTGGAAAGAGAATAGGTTGCTCCCATGGAGAAGGTGTGGGTGTGCACTTTCAGTCAGTTTCAGGGAAAGTGGAAACGCCACAATTCCTCTTCTGCTTCTGTTACTTCCCCCCCAGTTGTGCATTAGAGACACCAGGCTTTGAGAGTAACAGGGAGTGATGTCCAGGAGCCATTTCTCACCACATATTCTCCCCCCCTGTAATCAGCCTGGCAAAGGAAGCGCTGCTGCATGCACAATTTTTGTAGGCAATTGGCCATCTGTGAGCTGCCCAAAAGCACGGTGCCCAAACCAGCATTTTAAATGACATTAAGCCTTTCCTCTAAAAGACTTCCCAATGGCCTGATCTAGGGCAGGGCTGGGGGAACTTGCGATCCTCCAAAAGTTGTTGGACTCCCAACTTCTCCCATCAGCCTTGATAAGCACGAGCAGCGGTTGGAGATGGTGGGGTTTGCATTCCAGCAAAATCTGGAGGGCACCAAGATCTGCTGTAGAGGAGTAATGCTCCCCCAGGGTGGCACATCATTCCTTGTAAATATAGCCCCTTTGAGCTGCATCTCCAATCACTTCCTAGCATTGGGTGGATTGGTTTGTCCTTCCAACTTTTGCAAAGTCCCAACAGTCCATAATTACCGCCTTTCTCCCGTTTCGGGCCATATTCATGTACCGAACTTCTTGGCCTTATCCAAGCAGAAGATGCAAATGAGCTGCACTGGGATGGTTTTCTTAAAACAGGTTGCGCAAGAGAGTTGTTCCTTACTACTGGGGGTCTAAAGGATCTACAGTTGTGCCTTGGAAGTCGAACAGAATCCGTTCCGGAGGCCCGTTCGATTTCCAAAACATTTGGAAACCAAAGCGCGGCTAGCTGACCTAACCGGAAGAGTCCGCAACCAGAAGAAGGAGTGGTATCAGGAAGAGTGGAATAAATTTAATGATTATCTAGTTAAATTTGTTAAGTTAAATTACCTAATAGCTTGCAGATACTTAATTGGCTTAGGATTTTATTTATGTGAAGTGACAAATTAATATGTTTAATTCCATAAGGTGAAGATTTAAGGATGTTAAGTTAGATTTCATAAGAATTGGGTTTTGGAAAACCGTTAAAAGGACATGCAATGAAATTCGACCAAGGGGAAGCGAGGAAGTCACTTAACAAAGTTAATAAGTGTAATTTTCAATAAGGCTATGGTTTTTGTTTGTTTGTCTTGTGTGTTTGTTTGTTTGTTTATAATGTGAAAACCAATAAAAAAATTTTGGGGAAAAATAAAACGTTCGAGAACTAAGCTGTTCGAAAACCAAGGTACGAGTGTACAGTGGTACCTCGCAAGACGAATGCCTCGCAAGACAAAAAAACTCGCAAGACGAAAGGGTTTTTGGTTTTTTGAGTTGCTTCGCAAGACGATTTCCCCTATGGGCTTGCTTCGCAAGACGGAAACTTTGTTTCCTTTTTCTTAAAACTGTTAATACAGTTGCGACTTGACTTCGAGGAGCAACTAATAGCACGCGGTGTGGTAGCCTTTTTTGAGGTTTTTAAAGACTTTGGTGATTTTTGAAGCTTTTCCAAAACTTTCCCGACACCGTGCTTCGCAAGACGAAAAAAACCGCAAGACAAAAAAACTGGCGGATCGAATTAATTTCGTCTTGCGAGGCACCACTGTATCTAGTTTTAAGTTCAGGGAGACACACTGAATGTGAATGAAGTGGGCTGGGAAGCTAACAGAAGAGCAGCCATGGGTGGTGTGGGGTGTGAGAATGAGCCAGCTTGGCTTCATGGTTTCTCCCCCCCCCCCTCTCCTGCCTCCTACAGGCCAGAGCGGAGCTGGGAACAACTGGGCGAAAGGCCACTACACAGAAGGTGCCGAGCTGGTGGATTCCGTCCTGGACGTGGTCCGGAAGGAAGCGGAGAGCTGCGACTGCCTCCAGGGTTTCCAGCTGACCCACTCCTTGGGGGGCGGCACCGGTTCCGGGATGGGCACGCTCCTGATCAGCAAGATCCGCGAGGAGTACCCCGACCGCATAATGAACACCTTCAGCGTGGTGCCCTCTCCCAAGGTGTCCGACACCGTGGTGGAGCCGTATAACGCCACCCTCTCCGTGCACCAGCTGGTGGAGAACACGGACGAGACCTACTGCATTGACAACGAGGCTCTGTACGACATCTGCTTCCGCACGCTCAAGCTCACCACGCCCACCTACGGAGACCTCAACCACCTGGTCTCGGCCACCATGAGCGGCGTCACCACCTGCCTCCGCTTCCCCGGCCAGCTGAACGCCGACCTCCGCAAGCTGGCGGTCAACATGGTGCCCTTCCCTCGCCTTCACTTCTTCATGCCCGGTTTCGCCCCCCTGACCAGCCGCGGCAGCCAGCAGTACCGCGCCCTGACGGTGCCCGAGCTGACGCAGCAGGTCTTTGACGCCAAGAACATGATGGCGGCCTGTGACCCACGCCACGGGCGCTACCTAACTGTCGCGGCCGTCTTCCGTGGCCGCATGTCCATGAAGGAGGTGGACGAGCAGATGCTGAACGTCCAGAACAAGAACAGCAGCTACTTCGTGGAGTGGATCCCCAACAACGTCAAGACGGCCGTCTGTGACATCCCTCCCCGGGGCCTCAAGATGGCCGTCACCTTCATCGGCAACAGCACAGCCATCCAGGAGCTCTTCAAGCGCATCTCCGAGCAGTTCACGGCCATGTTCCGGCGCAAGGCCTTCCTCCACTGGTACACGGGCGAGGGCATGGATGAGATGGAGTTCACGGAGGCCGAGAGCAACATGAACGACCTGGTGTCCGAGTACCAGCAGTACCAAGACGCCACGGCGGAGGAAGAGGAGGATTTCGGCGAAGAGGCCGAGGAGGAAGCTTGAGGCGAGTCTGCTGGCAGTTCGGAAAACAAAACAGAAAAGTCAATAAATCCGCACAAAAATAAAAATTGAAAACAAAAACCCTGCATCTCCACGTTCTGTTTCTTTTTCCTTCCTCTCAAGCCTGTCAACCCCTTCCTGTGTCTCTTAATGGGCCAGTCTCTGCATTTTAACCCTCTCTGCATTTCTTCTCAGTGGTGGGAACAGCCTGTGGCTGATTTAACAATGAAACGGCTGCTCAGAGAGTCCCTTGAGAGCGGCTGAAAAAGACAGAAGAGGTTCTGTCTATCCATGATTATATTTGGTCACTAGTGATGTTTGGTTTCCAGGGTAAGCAGATGCTTCCCTTTCCCTGATCTACCATAGTTAATCAAGTGAGCTGTTAAGAAGCACAAGGCCGAGAGCCTTATAATTGCAAAAGGATGTGAGGATGTTGGATCAGTTCGGACACAGGGGACCCATTCCAGATAAAAGTAGAACGGTAGCTGACTTTAAAATGGAAACATGTTCCTGAAAGGCAAGTTTTCTTTCTTTCTGTCCAAGCAGAAAATAATAACCTGACTTCTGCTAATCTGAGCCGCAGGCCAATGGTTTCAAAGTGCATTTGCTAATAGAAAGTTGGGGTTTAGTTTTGGGGTAGCCTGCAGAATGGGTGTTTAAATGGTTTGAAGTCTGGTGGATTCCTACCCCAGTAGGTCACTCTCTAAAGATTGCTTGGTCTGTATGTTTGTTTCTGAAACATCTGCCACTGGATCATCTTGCCCCGGAACACCTTAAAGCACCCAACATTAATGTAGAAGGCATTTGTTGACCAGGAGAACAAAATGCAAGTTCTCTTTGCAGGAACCACTGGGTCAGATGTCTCTACCTATATGGTATGCCTGCAATATAAAAACACTTGGCATGCCAGGCACCTGCCTCTTCATTTAATGCTCATTGCCTCCAGGGTCTGTGCCTCTGGATATTTGTGTCCTATTGTTTGTGAAGTCAGCCATAACTGGTGTGAAAGCCAAAGAGGGTTCTTTCCCTCTCCCTGATTTTGCCAAATATGATGTCCAAAAGCCTGACCTTCAAACTATTTCCTTAGAACTTTTCTCCTTGCCTTGGCTTCTCAAAAGCCCTGGAGCTATAGGAGAAAAGAGCAAAGCACGCTTTTTGTCCTGAATTAACATTTTGAGGCTTGGACCCTTACCAAAGGTTGAGGCAGAGATTGAGACATTGCTGATTTGTCTGGGCCCAAAGTGCTGGGTGCACTCTTAGCCGGAATAAACACAAGCAGCAGTAGATTGAAAGGGAGTTGTGCCGCAACTCAAAAAGGCAAGCTGCTGTTCGAAGAAATAACTACCATTTAAAATACTTTGGAAGGTAGCTACAAATCCGAAGTACCCATGGCTTAATTTGCTTTTGCTCACAGTTGTAAAAGTTGGAGGTAAGGCTAAAGATCAGTGAGGAGTGATGGAAGTTAGCACTTAAAAGGGCAGCAAAGACCTGCACACACAGAGCAGATGGGAGAAAGGTTTGTCCGAAAAGGGACTGGGGAATGCCATGTTTGAGTATTTTGGGTGGTTGGGCAAAGAGGAACTGCATTAGGAAAGAGGAACTGAATTAGGGTTTTTTTTTAGTGAGCTCTTTATCCATGAGAATACTCAAATGTCTGATTATTTTTTTTAAGCCTCTTTTTTGCTGTTGATGTAGATCAGTCTTCTATTGTAGTATCCAACCTGTAGGAAGTAGCTAAGGGAGCCATATTGTTCCAAGGGATCGCTGAGCCAGTGGAAAGGGACATCTAGTTCTGACTCTGCCTAAACAGGGTTATACATCTGAAAGGTCACACTGCCACCACGAAGCCTGGCTTTTTCAATCTCCTGCTTGTTGCCTCAGCATCTTTTTCCCTTTTGCTTCTCACTCATTTCTTCCCTGCCTCATTTTACTCTTTTTTAAAGGAAAAAAAAATCCCTGCTTTTTCATATTGAAAAGTTGTCTTGTAAACAAATAAAAGGGTTTCTTATGTTTTCCTTTTTTGTGTTGAGTGTCCTCACTGTCCCTCTGCAGACCCTCATCCTTGCACAGTAAAATGACAGGGGGGGGAGGCATCTCCATAACATTAAAAAACACAACTATTTTTGCTGGTTTATCATGAAATGAGGCTGAGAGAAAACCCATTCATTTATCCCATAAATAGGGGTGTGGAAGCTGCAACTGTAGATGATCGTGTGTGTTAATTCCTATCCCCCCCCCAAACCATGGGCCATACTTGCAGAGGTTGATGGGAGTTTAGAGTGCAACACTGGGTTGCCTCCACAGGTTTGCCATATCTCGATATAAAGGAAGCATAAGATTGCAGGTGCATTTTGCAAAGTGCCATATTTTTTGCTCTATAAGACCACTTTTTCCCTCCTAAAAAGTAAGGGGAAATGTGTGTGTGTCTTAAGGAGCGAATGCAGGCTGCGCAGCTGTCCCATAAGCCAGAACAGCCAGAGGGATTGCTGCTTTTGCTGTGCAGCGATCCTTCTGGCTGTTCTGGCTTCTGGGATAGCAACACAAAGCCTCTTCAGGGCCGTGGGAAGATCGCTCCCCCTGCCCTGAAGAGGCTTCGGGCTGCTGTTCGATCCCTCTTGCTGTTCTGGCTTCTGGGATTCAAAATAATTTTTTTCTTGTTTTCCTCCTCCAAAAACTGGTCTGGTGTGTCTTATAGAGCGAAAAATACGGTACATTTTAGAAGTGGAGTACCTGAAAAGGTTGAAAATAGTACCAAGTTCAAAAACTAGTCTGAGAACTATATTGTATGTGTGCATGAGAGTCTATAACCTTTATTCCTTGTGCTGGAGGAGGAAGGAATATGAGTTGCAAGAGTGGGTGATTGACAGCTGCAGAGCAGTGGGTATGATGATGAGTGGCCGTCTTGGAATGAATTTGCTTGTGGGCTGGTGGTCCCTGCAAAGTGTTGATTTAAGCTACAAAGGCAGCTAAAATTAGCCAGATGTACAGCAGTGAATGTGCATGTTGAGTTGAACAGCAATTTCCCTTGTTTCTGGGGCCATCTGGATACAGTCGTACCTCGGGTTGAATGTGCTTCAGGTTAAGCACTTTTGGGTTGTGCTCCGTGGCAACCTGGAATTAATGGAGTGTTACTTCCGGGTTTCACCGCAGGCGCTCAAAATGACATCACATGCGCAGAAGCGGCAAAACGCGACGCGCAGTCGCATCTTACATTCTATTCAGGATGCGAAGGGGGCTCTGGAACAAATCCCGTTCGCATCCCGAGGTACCACTGTACTTGAAAGTATTCTTTGAACTTGTCTGTTCAGAGCAAAGTAGGATGAATGCGGTCATGCTGGTTAATATTCACCAAGTCGGAATGTCCTCACGGGAGATTACAAAATAGGCCTTGCTCATTAGGATTTGTGCTGGGCACAGAAAAGCGAAGCGAAATGCCCTCTGGTTAACAAAGCCATTAAATAATGAACGTAAAATACTCTGAAAAGCAGTAGTGTCGCTAATATCAGTTGAGCACCAGATGAGATAAAAACATTTAAGCGTTTTTCTTCAGTTCATAAAGCAATAAATTGATGACAATAAAAATCTCCACAGTAAGATTGATGTGGGAGCTAGATGGACCGATGGCCTAACTTGGTATAAGCAAACTTCCTATTGCTCCTGGGCATGTGAAGAGTGCCTCCACTCTCAACACACAATGGACTGCTTCACATAACTTCCTCATGTAGTGGTTGCTGCTGGGTGAATGGGTGACTTGCCTGAGTGGCTGGGCCAGAACATACTAAAGGAACAGAAACCATGTGTGGCTGAAATTGGGACCCACAACTACCAGATTCAAAAGGGTTTGAGTGAAAGGAGTACAGTGCACAACCATACACACTAGTGCCGCATTTACCCACTAGGAAGGAGCTGCAGCCTGTCCTGACCCTTTCATGTAAAGTAAATGAATGCCAGTGTGGTGTAGTGGTTAGAGCAGGGGTTGAGAGCCCATGGTCTTCCCTGACTATTAAGCCATGCTGCCTGCGACTGATGGGGAAGTCCCAGCAACATGTGGAGAGTCTGGAATTTAAAGTGTTGGGATTAGGATTTGGGATATCCAGGTTCAAATCCCCTCTCAACCAGGAAGATTACTGGGTGAGGTTGGACCAACAACTACCTCTGGCACCCCTTAGAGTGGCAAGGATAAAATTCATGAAAGGTTTGAGAGCTCCTTGCAGGAAAGATGAAATCACTAAATGAGCAGATAAACAAAAAGCACTGGCACTTTGATTTACTCCCAGCAGTATTTGCCTTCCCTTCACACTTTCAGCTTTACCCCGTTTTGGAATACCCTCAACCCCGTGGTTGGATGACGATAATAGGTGTATTTAAAAAAACAACAACTAATAACCCATAAAGCTCGCGCATGCCTGGAATCTACACGGGAATCCCTGCCCCCGTGGAGTGCAATGAGGCAAATGCACTCTGCACATGCTCAGGGGCAGGCGGGAAGGCCTCATGTCTCGGAGGAAACCATTTCCCCCAGTTCTCCTCCCACCTATCTCTTGCCTCGACTGAGGCTGCAACGTTGCAAAATGCAAGAGAGAGGCGAGTGCACGGGCAGCCGCCGAAGAAGAAGAGCAAAAGCGGGCGAGGAGGAACCAAGGGGCGGCCGGCCGGGGCGCTGCGAGGGGGGCGGAGGGCGCTCGACGTGGCAGCGCGGGAAAAAGACGGGGCCGTGCCAGGTGGAGCGCGAGCGGGGCTAGGCGGACGCGGAGGCGTTCTGGGCTGTACTACTTCGGGCTGCAGGGAGGGGGGTGGGAAATCATCTTTTCAAAACAAACAAGCAAGCAACACTGCCCGCTCCTCCATGTAGTAAACCGGCACGTCACGGAGAAGTGTTTCCCCAAAGGGCAGCTTTTATTACACGCAGGGAGACTGACTGTGATGATGCTAATAATAAGCCCGCGCTGAAATGGTACAGCCCAGATTCCTGCCGTTTTCGTCCCGCCTGCTGCAAAGGGAACGTGTAATTAAAAATAATAATTTCTTATTTATACCCCACCCATCTGACTGGGTTTCCCCAGCCAGTCTGGGCGGCAATAGTAGTAGTAGTAGTAGTAGTAATAGTAGTAATAGTAGTAATAGCAAGGCTTGGCCGCCTGATTTCTTATGTTTGTTGAAACCTCCGCAGTACAGAGACCAGCCAAGCTTTTCTTTTCCTTTTCATTGTTTGTAAATGGAAAAGAAAGAGAAACGCAAATGATCTTGAAATATACTCAGAGTCGCAAAGTGATTTCATGCTCTTTATTTAGCTCATAGTGGTGAGGAGGAATGAATGAATGTCCCCTCAAAGTATCTGCTTTATATACATTATTTACACAATGAGCTGCACATGATTGGCGAATTCCGGAATTCTACTGTAAGCCAATCAGGTTGTGGATTCACTTCTATCTGGAGCATGATTGGGTAGTTCCTGCCAACCAATCATACTGCTGCATTGTTCTAGGACCAATCAGACTGCTGCCTTTTGGATCCTATTGTTCTAAGACCAATCAGACTGCTGCCTTTTGGATCCTATTCAACTCAGTACATAACAGATCTCTTGGTTTTGGGGTTTTTTGAACCCCCGACACAAAACATTGCGCGCTGGCCTAAGCAATAAGGATACCCGCCAGAATTGATATCGTTTGTTCAAACGCCCTCCGCCCACAAAGAATGAGAGCTGATTTATTTTCCTGCTGCTGCGCGGCAGGTAGAAATCCAACAGGTGTGGCTTCCCTAAGGCCTCGCCTCCCTCCGGCCCAGGCAAAGCAGCCATGCCTGCTGGTTTGCTGCCTGCCACTCGGCTGCTTAAGGGAGCAGGAGTCTGGCAGTGGGAGAGAGAGTGGGGAGGCAAGGTTGTTTCGTGGCAATCCTAATCGGATCAGGCTATTCTAGGGGACACGGAAAGCCCTGTCCTGTTTTTCTCCAAGGTTTTCCTCCTCTCCTCACTTCCCGCGTCTCCTCTGCAGATTCAGCGCACACAATCCAAATCCATTTCTGATGAAATTCATTCTCCTTAGTCCAGCCCAGCTCCTTGGAGGAAAGATGAGGTGTAAATGTAATAAATACATATGACGGATTGTTTCTGACTTGGTATATTTTTGTTCCGAAAGCTTTTTTTAAAAGTGTCTATGCTTTTCAGATTTCCATAAGATCTTGGTTTTAATGTCACTTTTTTCTAATTGAGTTAAACTCATTATAGATATAAATACAGAATAGATATAGATACAAACGATTAAGATAGCCATTCTTAACATATTTGTTAATATGTTAATAACACATGCCACTGGCACAAGTTACTGATTTCTGAATTTTTAAAATTATGCATTAAATTTGTAAAATGTCCTTTATCAAAAGATCACAGGCTTGTTCGCTACAGAAAAATACAAAATGATAATTTGTTGTTGTTGCTTGGTCATTTAGTCATGTCTGACTCTTCGTATATCCTATGTCCGTGTCTTTTTCCACACTGGGGATTTTAGGTTCCCAAGGGCCTTTTCTCCATCTGGGAAAACAAGGCAGCGGATGGGTGGACCCAATCCCAGAGCATTTAGTGCATTGCACAGAAGGCACGCATTCCCCCTGGTTTCCCTCCTAACAGGCGGGAACTGAGTTTGCTGCAGAGTCACAGAAGTTAAAGGAATTATCCAACATCTGCAGCCACAATTACTCCTTGCAGAATTCCTGAATTGCGTTTTAAACACAAGGATTTGGGTAGCCATATGGATAAGGTCAGCGAGTGTTTTGCGACAGACAGAAGGGAGCCAGCCAGGGCTGGAGGAAAGCGATGTGCCAGGGAAGCTGCAAACGTTTGATGTTTGGGTTTTAGGTGGTTTTTCCATTGGAAAATGCAAGCTTTGGCTCCTTTTTCCCCCTGGCATGGCTCCTGTCTCTTGGTTCTACAGGAGCAGTTTTCTTTCCTGGTATGTCCCTGGGGCAAGGAAAGCTTTATTGTTGAGTCTCTGCCTGTCACATTATATGGGGATCTGCTAGA